GGCGACGTGGAGCTCCATTAGGAGTTAATAAAGTAGATTCCCAAATGAGTCCCACTTAACTCCATTAGAATATAATATAAATTTCTAAATCCCGAGCCTCTCACAACACACAGGGCTCCACCCACAGGCTATATGGCATTGCACATACATGAACATGTAAATAATCAATTACAACCGACATCAACCACAATCTGGTAAATCTAAATATTACATGAGTTTACAGAATTCTCGATTCCTTACATTTATGTCAAAGGGTGAACACAGTCCTCTCTTGTTCCAACAGTAGCACAACTCAGCTACTTCGTAGCAAATATCCAGCTACTGTGCACCGCTCATAGAATCTCCTGGGAGGGGTTTAATACATTTGAAACATAAAATGCGAGCGAAAGGCCTAGTAGGATATAGTTTGAAATGACCGTATAATTAAATGAATAATAAATGAGCAACGAATAAATAAATGAATAAGTAAATAAAATAAGACATTTAGTTCCGACAGGCAGCTAGAACCTCACATCCTTTTTCTTAAAGGAAATATAACTGAAAATAATCGTATTACAGGCATCATCAAGTAATTAGTACAAATTACTCACCTACCAAGTGCCTCACCTACCAAGTGCCTCACCTACCCGGACTGAGTTTCGGGTTCTGCCCCCGAGGATGCACTCTTCGCATCCTATCTAGGCTTACAGCAATATATTCTTACTGGTTCACAAGATCTCTTATCTTAAGAAGTCATTCATTTAACATTATGAAATCGTTAATATGACCCCACGAACTACTCAAGCCACGGGCCCCATGACTGGGAAAGCCATAAGGTTCCATGACTAAACAAGTCATGGTTTTTAAAGAGTTTTTCTTTCGCAAACCAACCCCTTTCTTTAAGACATTTCCAAGGCCGAAATCCTTTTTGAAAACAGGCTCACAAGGAAAAGTGATAGAAATCCTACCTCAAATTTACCAAACCTGTGGCTAGCGGTGCACTATCTCAGCTTCTGTTTCCTCCAGCCACTCATTCTGAATCCTCAGCTATCACTGATATAAGATAACACTTTAGGATCAATTATTATTCCTAAAGCAATCCAATCTCAATTATGTACCAAGATTTTCAATTAGTGTGCCCTAATCCGATTTCATGTTTTAAATTATCATTCCAAGGATTTCCACTTTCAAAACAAGGATTCAAGATGCTAATCCACTTATCTCAAGTCCCCAAATGAAGCTAATTTGGGTTCTCCCTGAAAACAGGGGTCAAAACAGCAATTTCAGGCCAAACAGGGTCAAACCCCGTGTCAACCGGTCGACCGGTGATAGAACAGTGCATCACCACTGGCCGACCGGTGGTGTGCAATCCGGTCGACCGGACCGGTCGACCGGTGGCCTCAGTGTAGTCCGGTCGACAGGTGAAGAACTCCAGTCCTAGGAAACTCGCGGAAATCAATTTGAAAACCTGTAAATCCAGTCCCAAACCAAAATATTTCAATGGACAACCACTAGATCCGGGTCCTAGGTCCTAAAACAAGTCCAAAGAATCCGAGATCTCCAATTTCTACCCTAGTTTTACTCAAAATCCATAAAAATTCGTTTCGAACCAAAAATAAGTTTTAGAATCCGAAATCTAGAGATTCAAGAGAGGTTTTTCAGAAATCTTACCTTGAATCCTTCTCTTGACGTTGAAAATGCTTTGAAACTTTCCTTTGGTTCAAAATCCAGTTGATTTTGAAGCAAACGGGAGAGAGAACCGAGAGAGGGAGTGAGAGAATGAAGAGAGAGAGAGGGAATGGTCTGAGAGAGACATGGGAGGAAAAGAAAAAGGAAGAAAAAGGAAGGAAAGAAAAAAAAAAGAAAAGAAAATAGACAAGTACCAGTATTTAAAAAAAAACAGTCCAGAAATGCGCCCATACACACTTCTGGGTTAAAATAAAATTACTGAGAATATTTAAATGCCTTGGAATTATCTAAATTACACGTCAGAAATATTTATTAATCAAAGCCAATTAATAAATCAGGATTAGGCAGACTAATAATTCTTAATTATCTCAATTAATCCTAATTAATTTTTCAGGGTGTTACAATTCTTGCTCGCTTTCATTGTTTTCTTGTCTTGATCGTTGCTCGCGAGAATTTGTCATTTCTTGATTTCTCTCTGTTCATGTATACATCGTGTTTTTCCGCACTTTGCCTCAATGATATTATGTTGTACTCATTTTGTAAACCTTTGTCATTGTATAATTTCTTCAAAATAATGTGTTTTGAAGCCAAGTTCCTCTTGTATCCTTTACTTCTCCCCCCTTTCTCTCTTGTTCTAAAAAGGGCTTTGGGTTGTTGGTTTTGCAAACTAGTTGCTGCAGTTGTTAAAGTGGTTTTGATGGTGGATTTGGATCTCAATTTTTCTGTTTCTTTATTTGGTTAGCTTCATTAAGATGATTGGAATCAGAAGCAACAATATAAATGGTACCAGAAGTTTGAGTTTTTTTTTTATATTTACTATATTATTATTATTATTATTGTTGTTGTGTATGGAACAAAAATTTGAGTTTAAAATCATGTTATAAACGTTTCTTTGATCTTTTGACAGTGTAAAAGATGCGTCTGTCCATGTGTGCAAATGGCTTAAAACTTATCTTGGTCAAAAGTGTTCCGTATAAATGTTGTAATTACAAGTTAGTGTTATCATTTAAAAGGCATAAGAGGTTCATTTTTTTCCATGCCCATTATACATATTCTAAAAGAGAGTATGAAGTGTTACTGTTCACTAAACAGTGAAATTCATTTTTTAACCTCCCAAATGTATATTTACCGTTTTGCCCTTTGCACTTTCTTCACCACACACGTTTTTTACTTGCCTTTTCGTCTATTTCTTGCGCACAGTTATGTTTTTTTCTTTCTTAAATTAATTTTTTAGATGAGGGAACATCATGGATTAGAAACAGGTCCTATTCTTTGCCTTCGACTACCTTCTAGGTCTTTCTTTTTTTTTTTCTTCTCTTCTAGAGCACAGTTCCACACTTCCGCCATTTCTTCTCTTCGCCTTTTATCTTTTTGGGTGTTTTGGGTATTATTTTTTCTTCTTCTTTGCTCTGATATGGTTTTTCGTTTCTTCATTTTTTTCTTCTCAAGCTGTTTCAACATAATTTTTTTCTACTGTTTCTTCTCTTCTGATCTTTTTGGGTGTTTTGAGTTTTGTTGTTTTCTTCTTTTCTGCACTAATATGAGTTTTCATTTTTTCGTATCTATTTCAGAATTTTTTTTTCCTTTTACCGTTTCATCTCTTCGTCTTGATGTTTTATGTTTTTTTGGGTTATGCTGTTTTGTTCTGAATTTTTTTTTTGTTTACCTGATTTTTCTTTGCATGTTTTTCTTGCAAAAGCATTCGGAAATGTTTACTTTCTCGGCGTCCAAATATCCAGAGCTCATATTCTTTATATTTTTCGCTTTTTCTTTTGGGGTTCCCCCTACCCCCTTTTCCCTTTTTATTTTTTTTTTTGGGAGATTTTTGGGCTCTTTTTTGTTCATGTTTAGTCTTTGCTGATTTTTTTGCTTTAATTATTTAAATTTTTTTATTTTGGCCAACTTTTAATTTTTGTGGTTTTCTTTTTTCAATTTTTTTAATTTGTGATTTTTGGCTTTTATCTATTCTTGTTTACTCTTTATTGATTTTTTTTGTTTGTTTATTAAAATTTATGATTTTGAGTGATTATGCACAATTGTCAACATCTTCTTGTTGTGTTAATCTTGCATTTCTTATGCTTGAGTTTTGTATAATGCATATATAATCTCTCACTGTCCGTTATTTATTGGTTGTGTTTTGCGGTTGTCTTCATGCTTCATGATAGCTGTAGTTGATTAATTATTATTCCGATTGATTTTGTTTTGCAGGAATTTGTATCGGAGATTGAGCGAAATATTGATAACTTTGTGTATATATAATGCATGTTATTTTATTGCTATAATTCCTCACTTTCTCTTTGTTTTTGTTCTTTAGATATTACGATTTATCCTCTTTTGTGTTCTCTATTTCTTACTATTAAAAATCTTATTGATACTAGGCTTCTATTATTATTTTCACTGTCTTTTAGATATTCAATTCATATATTTCTCCTGCTCAGTAATTTTGGTTGTTCTGTTGGATCTATCCTGTTCACTATGCTTCATCGACTGAGGTATTCAATTTTTTTTCCTACCTTTGTTTTTGAATTGTTTTCAAATATTGCTTTATAATGTTATCTTCATTTGTTATGTGAGTTTCTTCATTTATTGGCTTATCTATTCATTTTATTATGTTTTTTTTAATATGTTATTATTTGGTGTCAATTTTTTTTTTATATCGGTGTTCAATATTTATGTTGTTTTGCTTCTTGTTATTTAGGTATAACTTAGCTTCATCTTTTGCCTTATTTGTTCTTCTGTCGAGAGCCAAAATTTTTTTTAGCTTTTCATCTTCTTTTGGTCATGATGATGCATTTTTCTTCTATTGGTAGACCAAGAATTACATGGACTGAAGTA